GGGGGCTCCAGCATTCAGAAGGCGTTGTCTTTCCCAGCTCTTGAGAAGAAAATTACCAAAGGAGACAAATTGGAAATGTCACCCGGTCTGAAAATGAATCTTCAGTAATTCAGTGTCACCGTGCACCCTGCTGAAATTCCAACTCGCGGCGTGGCTGCTGTGATTATGGTGATGGAGGGAGGTGCGATGGACTGGGAGAAAGACTTTCTTTAAACTCGATGAAACTTATAATGAATACCAGATTGTGAAATTTGTATCGCGCTCACAGACGAATATCTGGTTGAAATAGCGTTACAAATAGTCAGCCGATGTTACTGTGGCAAGTTAAGTGACGTTTGGTTATAGTCATGTCACGTGATGACATTGGTCATTTATTAAATCGTAGCGTCGGTGCCAAGACGAAGTATTACTTGAATCTTGCCTTTTCATCACTGGATCGTTTTGTTTTTGTTTGATACATGAAAGTCGAGTCTGTCCTGAAGATGATTTGTCTTGTGGAATGAAACTTATGTTTATGTCCGGTCATCAGAATGCAAGACATACTCTCGATAAAGATACGTAGTAGATCATTCGAAAAGTGACACATTTAAAATATATGGGAAATATATTAAGATGTTTTATCGATTCTGAAAGTGCCGTCTACTTAAGGACTCTGTTGTATGGAGTTACTTAGATATGTCATGAAAGGAGACTATTTATTTAGTGTTCTGTGTGACGACAGGTCCATATGAACAGGATCCTTCCATCCTTTTCTCGGACTGGGACCTGTTCATATACGTTCTTGGCAGATGATCCAGAAGTGGTTTGCCATTGCCTTCTTCTGTGTGTGAATGGAGTAATTGTTGGGATGCCACGGAGGAAGACTCCGTGTTGCCTAGACCACGGCCTTGCCCAACACAAGTTATAAATTCGGGCACCGCCGGGAATCGAACCCGAGACCCCAGGATTACAAGGCCATCGTTCTAACCGCTAGACCACCGTGGCCATCGTCATGTTCATACAATATACTAAGTCACACAGTCCACCTCGTGTTGCGGACATTTTGGGTGAAAACACGTAAACAATTACAGAGGGGGATTGGTCAAAATCTGTCTTGCATAAATTAGAAAAAAAATTACAGTGCACCTCTCAATAAAATGTTTTGCTAAGAATATTACGGAATGAACCTTCTACTTTACAGAGTTACCTGTCCCTGTTCAGGGACACAACACACCCCACCCTTCTGCTCTGAACCCCGGTCCCTCAAGGAAACACAGCTGGCTTCTTCGGTCTCCCAACGCCCTGTGTTTTATGGGCGCAAGAATTTGTCGAGCGTCTTGCTTACTGCGCCCACGTCAATATCACGACTAGACGATGCATCAGCTACAACTCATTTACATGCATCTGTTAGGCGGAAAGATCCGTGTTCTTAGATGTTACATTTAATACGCTTTATAAAGTTTGGAAAAGCCCGTGGGGTTGAGGGTTTTTTTTATATAATACACAGGATGACGAGAAAACATAGTTCCAATGCAGTTTGTTCCTGTAGTCAGTTTATACGTGCCATCTGAAGCCCCTGAATCGTGACCTGATTGATCAGGGTCGTCGCACATGGTGGGATGATAATCGGGGAGGATGAACGTGTTGCAGTCAGACTTTGATTACCTTGAATCTCCAGCATCCTATTTCTTCATTCCTTCCTCGAAAATCCAAAAAAAAATTTCCCCAAGCATTTTCTTCTCAAACGCCCTCAACCTGTGTTCGTCCCTTAACGTGTAAGTCCCAAGTTTTGCACCCACACGAAGCAGCAGGTAAATTCTTTTCGACTTTGCGAGTAGAAATACACGGGAAGACGAAAGATTCTGAACTGATTACTTTTCGTTTCATCTCGTTCTGCTAATGCAACATTTTAATGGGTTATGAGTTAGGTACCAGCCCTGAAGATGGAGGTAGTGTGCTCTTCTGAGACATTGGTACTGACTTACAAGTCCACATGGTGTCATAACAAATGCGATCACTAGTATAAATAAATAAATATTTTAAAAGAGAATCCACAAAATAGTTTTCAAAGTTGTTGCCTGAAATTAAGTTTTGTGTTGTGTGTTGGTATTCGATTTAATGATTTGAGCAGTGTAATTTTCTGCCCGTTGGTTGCATATTTTCTTTCATTTACGAATAAATCATAACTTAAACATTATATAAACTCTGTACTTTGATACAGCTTCACGAAATAATTCAGAAGCAACGAGAAATCCACAGTACGTACATTTTATACGTAAACGAAGTCTCGTGTTGTTTCAAATAAAAATCTTCTCGTGTTAGCGCAGGAAATTCGATATTCCTGCGTCTAGTTTTTGGAATTTTGCGGTCTTGTCTGTGCAAATGGAGAATTATTTGTGTTTACCATTTTTCCACGTCCCGTATTTTGGGGAGAACTCGTCCTTTTCCGATATCAATGTGCCCAGTTTTCGAAATATAAATCGATAATTTTTGCTGGGTTTCTCAAAAATGAATTTTTATTTTATCTAAAACAATCTTTCTGGGACGTGTCTTAGCTATTGTACGTATGTACACATCCGCGAGTAGATGGTCGAAAGTCATTCTTATAGCACAGTGACGTAGGATACATTTCCACTCCCGGAAAGTCGGGTTATTTAGTCATCAGTGTGACACACACACACACACACGAGATATTCTGACGTCGGATGTGCCTAGTTTGTGCATAAGAATATGAATCTGTGAACAGGACTTCTCCAGGACTTATCCAGATATTATCCAGGACATCCCCACTTCCAACCGATGAACACAATAGGAATTCTGTAGAACACAACTTAAACCTAACCTAAAACTACAACCTTAACTGATGTTTCTATGACGCCGTGTGGTCTTGAAGGTCTAAGGGGCCTGTTTTCTACATCTTTAAGTGGAATTTTTTTCTTCATTTTTTAACTGGTAGCATCGTTTAACTCTTTAAAGCCTAAGCTCGTCCAACTAATATTTAAGAATTTTGTCCTTACCGCAAAGAAATCACAACACTTCACTGTTACAAACATTAGCTTATTAATGCTACAGAAGGAAATAATCCCAGTTTACAATGAGAATCATACAAAATGCACCGTTACTGACTAAAAGAATATGGTATATATAATTACCATTCGACTTGAAAGTGGCAAATAGATAGGTTTGTGAATCTGTAAGTAAATAAATACATGAATAATACTCCATGCCGTTAATTTTATAGACAGCGATGAACCACGTAAGTTATTGAAATAAGTGCTGCCATCTCTTTGCAAATATTCGTACCGTCTTTACAGTTCTCGTAATGCGAACAAGATGGGAGCATAACATGAAACTTCAATATAAAGGTCACTTTTAGTTTATTTTTTCACTGTAGTCTGTTGAAATAGTAAATTTATATGTGCTTCTCTTTTAAATATATCATTCAGGATAGTATTCAGTTAATTATGACTAAGTACTGAACTTAAATATATTTTTAAGATGTTAAACTCCAAAGGTAGTTTGAACTTGTAATCTAGAGTATTTCAAATGTTAGGTTGGCTGCCCTTTATGACCAACAATCGAATCCTAGTTGTCGATACGTGAAGGAAACTGACTGTCAGTCTGCGTTCGGCACACATGATCGGGGTCTAAGATATTAAGATAATAGTAATTAATATTCCGTAATGTAAAATTAAGACGAAAAATGTTGTAAATGTACGGCGCAAGTGTGTTTCTTTTAAATCATAGAAAGTGAATTATTTTTCCCGGTTGAGAAAGGAAAAGTCTGGACTTATGCCTTGCTCCAAAACTTTCAATATGCCACTAAAAAGCATTATTTTATTAATGAATAACGTTGATGGTATTCACCCTACGGTTGAGAATGGTGTTGTGATTCTTTTGTGTTTTTCTTTGAATGTGTCATGTACATAAAGCAATGAACAGCATGGGGCAGACATCACCAGAGCAATGGGCTCCTCCTTGGAGCCAGATAAAAGTCTATGATGGTAAAGAAACGGTGGGGGTGGAATACACGATGCTAGAATCATATTTGGAGTGTATGTATCCTATGAAATCTGACCATGCGAGTTCCAAACCGTCTGTTACTGATGTCAAGCTAACCGCAGTTAATCCTCTTCACTGTAACAGCGCCCCGGAAATAAGTGAAAAGACAGGTTTTGAAGCAGAAATGGCAGTGACCCCAACTAATAACAACGTATATTCGCCACATAAAACAGCAAAGACAGTTGAATACATTTCTGGTGAGACGTCAACTAATAATGGAACGCATTGCCTACAAGAAGTGTCATTGCCATCTTCTCTGTCAGAATGTGTAATAAAAGAAGAACCCGTTAAAATTCTGGATGCTGTAGAGTAAGAAAATTTGTTCAGATTAGAAGCTCAACCCACATAATAGTTTTAGTGGAAAATAAAGATGTAGACTTTCGAAATAGTCTGCCCATAAGAAATTAAGTCATTCGGGGTATTTTTAGGTTTTCCTATTGGCTACCATGATGTCATACCAATGTACCCCTAAACTGATACGATTGTTTATGTTAATATTTCTTTGGAACTCGAGTAAATTAAATTGTAAACTAATTAGCGAACAGTTTAAGATTCTTATATTTGTACGGGAAATTTATTTTTATGAGATAATTATTAATGTTACTTTTATATAAGTCGCATATTCTAGTGAGTGTAAGATTTAAATGTTGGCAGTGCCTGGATGTTGTAAATGGAAAATGGCTGGCTGTCAAATATTTGTTGATGTCTTTAAAATATCCCGAATAGCTTCTGTTTCTGCTTCATGATTGTATTGAAGTATAACAGTGGTTAAGTTACGTTCATGGAGTAATGTGTATTAGGATGGTAAGTGTTAGTGTAGGTAAATCTTCGTAATCTGATTGAAATACTTCTGAGTTGTTATGCCTAAATGCACCATGTTATTGATTCATTTAAAAATGTAGCTCTGTTGTGACAAAATGTGGATAATGCGTTAAAGTATGTTTCTTGTATCGTTCCAGGCGCCGAACAGCAGGGTTTTCAGTTGGATGGAGGAACCATCCGTCATCCATGCACTTTGACTCTCTGAAAGTTGTGTCTGAACACCTTGTGGAGAGAATCAAACTGGAAGACTCTCTTTTTCGTGATGTATTTCATAGTGGTGCTAGTTTTCCAATGTGTGCCGCTTCAGCACCCACATCATCATCTTACAGCAATCCATGGGCCGTTACCCAGCAGTGCAACTTGAACACCTGTAGTTCGTATATTAGTGATACAACAGTTGGTCAGGGAGCAAATAATGATAGTCAAAATAAAACAAAGGCTTATTCTGTAGGAAACAATCAAAATCCAGCTGCATTTATACAAGCAACAAATAATTTTAATAGGAATATGAATAATAATTTTATGTGCACAACTATGTTTTTAATGAATGACAACCTACAACCAAATAATGCCCATCAGTCACACAGCAATTCAAAAAAACATCATGATTTGTTCAATATTGCTTGTGAGAAAGGTTGCAACTGTGAAACAACAAACTCTCTGTTTCGTTCTGGTGGTGGACAGATATTTAATGCTGATAAACATGCTGCGGCTGCTGCTGCTGCTGTCGCTGCAAAACACTTCATGACTCCTTGTGGACCACTGCAATTAACTGCACAGGAGTGTAGTGAATTTTTACTGAAAAAAGTTGCCGTCTCCAACAGCTTAGCTGTATCTGATGGTTCTCATATAGGTGCTCAGAACAGTTGTAACACAAATGATGCACAGCAGAAGAACAGACATTCAGGAACAAGCTTGGATAATGCTCAAGAGACAAATAATAGCACAAGTGGGAAGTTGTCCAGTAGTGAGACTAGCTCTGGGCAGAGGTATCGAGTTGCCAAGGAGCGCCCTTTTTCATGCCAAGAGTGTGGAAAGTCATTTCTCCTGAAACACCATCTCGTGACACATGCTCGAGTTCACACTGGTGAACGGCCACATGTGTGTCCAGAGTGTGGAAAGAGTTTTGCACACAAGCACTGTCTTAGTACACATCTCCTTCTTCATAGTAGTCAGCGCCCTTATCAATGTCTTGAATGTAAGAAGTCATTCACTCTGAAACATCATCTTGTGACTCACGCTCGAGTTCATAGCCGGGATCGGCCATTCGTCTGTCGAGAGTGCGGGCGAACATTTCCTCAGAAGCGTCATTTGGCCACACACGCAAAGTTTCACTCGGGTGAGCGCCCACATGTGTGTGAGGAGTGTGGTGAATCATTCTCACGTGAGGACCATCTGGTGATCCATTCACGCTTCCATGGCGGACAGCACCCATATGTGTGTCCAGATTGTGGAAGTACTTTTGCCCGCAAATTTGAGCTGGTGAACCACGGACGCCTGCACGGTCGCATTCCCCATTCCTGCGATGTGTGTGGCAAGGAGTTCCTACAGAAGCGCACACTGCTCGCTCACGCTCGACTCCACGTGGAAGGAGAACGGCCATTTGTCTGCCAGCACTGTGGTGAAACTTTCCCACGCAGAACTGAACTTGTTGAGCACTCCCACATTCATGCAGATGAGAAGGCCTTCGTATGCAGGTAGCTGGATCCCCTGGCATCATTCTCATAGTTATATTGTAACCATGTTAGATCATGTCACCTAAAGAGTAAAAGTACTGGAATCTTGAGAGGTGGGACTCATTAGCAACCAGGCATTGTCAAGAAACCAGCTAATAAAACCAGTTCCTGTTAGATCGTTGTTCAGATTGAAACTCCCTGCCATTGCTTCATTTTTCTTCTGTAAGCAGTAGCCATTTTAGATGTCCAGATATACACTCACATTGGTTCAAATGGTCTGAAGTGTGTTGCATACTCTGTGTACTTTGTCGCAGGGAATGTGGTGATTGTTTCCCAAATCGAGAGGCTCTAGCTCTGCACTACCGTCTTCACGCCGGTGATCGTAACTTTGTCGCCGATTTGTGCGGTCTCGCGGCAGCATTTCAGCAGCCCGCGGCACACTTCCTGTGTCCAACTCCTCTTCACCCTACCGCCATGAATAAATTGAACCAGAGCTCTGCTGGAACCTCTGCGTCAAGTAGCGGTATAGTGCCGTCAACTCCGCAGCTGAAACCGAAGCCTCACGTGTGTCGTGACTGTGGCAAATGTTTTGCGCAGAAGCATGGACTTGCGCAACATAACAGGCGGCACAATGGTGGCAGCTGCGATATTAGACAGCATGCCTGTGACAAATGTGGTAAAGCGTTCTTTCAAAAGAACCATCTGGCTTTGCATCAGAGACAGCATATGGAGCATCCATCCTCAGGCTCCCCTACAGACACAAAGACGTTTGAAGTCAACATTCCAGTATCAGGAGAATAATTTAATGGGAACATTAAATTTGTGATTATCAGAAAACTTTTTTTTATCTGCAGATGGCTGTCTTCTGGGTTGTAGCATGCATGGAGGCAGCGAGGACCTCTGAAACATCGGTAAACTTCTACCAAACTACACAGCGCAACATCCAAGAAGACGGCCATCTTCAGACTCACTGCCGTGAAAAACTGAAATCCTGTTGTTGTTGTTTTTTTGTTTTTGTTCTTTATGTGTACATGATTTTGTGACTGCACTCTGCTTCGGAATTTTATATTAAAATTCCAACTAGTTCTTTGAATGGTTACAAGAAGTCATGTTTAGTTCTGTACAAACCTGTATTGTACAAATGGTTTCATGCCAATTAATTTACAAGCTAGTTTTAATTTTATCTGAAAACTCAGTGATGTTCTGTGTTTTGGTATAAGTTCTAAATCGTCTTCCACTTTTTGTGGATCAGCTGACAACCAAGCCCCCATGTGCCTGTGTCTTCCCACATCTCCACCTTTGCGATTTCTTCCCATGATGTTTCTTCTTTCCTGTGAGATGTTTCCTAGTCTTTAGTTCCCATTTTCATCTTGGTCTCCCTCCTGGGCAATTTTGTTTTATTGTCACGTTCAAACCCTTCTTTGGGATTCTCTCTTTGTTTGTTCTGAAAAGATATCCGTACCATCTTATTCTGGTATCTGTTAACTTTTCGAGGCATTTATCTTAAAGTTCTGTCTCATCTTTGTTCCCTGTTTTTTTTTCCTCCTATATTTCTGTGCTTCTGCTGTCATTAATCTGTTAATATCTTGCCTTGGTCCATGTCATAGTTTCTGCTCCATAGACATTTTCCCTTCTTATGAATTTCATGTTTACAGAGTATGTCCCTCCTTAACTAATAACATTTTCCTACATTTTTTTATTTTCCTGTAATTTTTTCCTTAACATTTCTATTTCATTTCAAAGTTTTACTGCAGACTCATTGAAGTATTGTTTTAGAAATGCATAAATGAGAGATTAAATGCTTATTGAAGATCACTTTGGAATAGTTGCTGTAGTTTGCTAGGTGAGGTAGGTCAGAGAATTATTATTGCGTAGCGGCAGTGTTATTAATGTGTGTTGTGTCTACATAAAATGTCTTCTTCTTCTATGGCTCTCCGGTCCATGGCCTCGTCAATTCTCCTCTTCCATTCGGTCCTCTGTTAGGTCCGTCTGTCCGAGGCTTTGATCGAGGTTTTGAAACATCTTCCTTTTTACGGTGTAAGGTTGTTAGCCTTGCGACCAACCCCCAACCTGGAGGACCAGGGCACCTGTCTTAGTCTGACCTCTCCCCCTCGACCAATCTGGCTAGGGAGGCCCTACCAGTAGCTCTTGGGGTCACTGAGGTACTCAAGCCCCACCACCACGATAAGGTGCAGGTACCATTAAGTGGGGACATAAAATGTCAGTGAATGTGAATCATAGTTCTTTTGTAGTTACATGTAAAGCTATGAAACGTAAATACGAGAGTTATACATGACATTGTGATCTTTGGAACGTTTATTGCAGCTCATCATCTAGAAATTATAATACTCGTCTGTTCTAGTGTACATTAAGAAACTGAAGAAATTAAAAATAGAAGTGAACTAGAATACTCAAGCGTATTATACTGAAAGAATGAGTAGAAATTATTATTTACCATTGGAAACTGTGTGAAAGTCATTGGCACTTTGGTATAGTTATTTTTAGACCCATAAGCATGATATTTTATTGATAATGATCTTAAAATGAATATCATTGCTACGTGACCTGTTGTGAAGTGTTAGAATTATTGCAATAAGTCTTCTGTCCTTTTTGTATGTTTTGTGTTAGATGGTAACTTTTATGTTTTTTTCTACGTTGTGATAATTTTCTTTTATACCTGACAGTTGTAACATAAAATAACGGATTATAGGCCTCCCAAGAGTTCCAGTAGCGATTCTTGTTATTAAATTATGTTTACTGTAAGTAAATGAAATGTATTTATACCTGAAGTATTAACAAAGTTTTGATTTTCTTTTGCAGATTCTTTTAAAATTTTAGACGCAGTATTCTTTGGACCAGCGCTGGCTGTGTGTGTGTGTGTGGTTCAACATTCCTTGATTCCTTGATAAATTAGGCAACGATGTTGTACAATTTCCGATACCCTTTACGGGTCCCCAACTTTTCAGTTGCTTGATCTATGGACATTCGGTAGGACTCCTTGGACGAGGGAATTATTACCGTCTTAACACAACAAATATCATCGTGTCTTATATGTAATTTACTACTTC